ATACTTCTTAGTATGTATTAAAAATTTAAGAAAAAGAGAAAAAAAACCGAGGAGGAAAAATTCAAATGAAATCAGATATCAGCAAAGAAGGAATTTAAAGATGAGGTTGCAAATAGTTCAATAGCTTAAGATGTAGACAATTCTGCTAATATTTTGACTTGAAAAATCCAAAATTCAACCTCCAATTATTACATGTATACCTAATCATATAGAATATCCCATTTTTTTTTAATCTGAGACAGCAGGATGAAGTACAATGAATTATATTAATAATTTTTTTTTATATTCAACGACAGTGAAAAAATATATCTTAAGAGATTATATTATATTCAGATATTAAAAATAATATTGATTTCAAATTTTGTAAAAAAACAAAACAATCTTATTTTATGGTATGGAGATGATTGATCATAGATTCTAATATCAGAAGTTAGGCAGATGTGCGGTAAAAAAATACTATATTATATAATGGTATATTTATTGGATTGTCCAACGTTTCGACCGATGCTGTAGGTCTTCTTCAGGGCTTTCCATCTGGCAGTAGTAGAAGACTGCATTCAGCAGTACCAGACGGAAAGCTCTGAAGAAAACTTACAACGTAGGTCGAAACATTGGACAATGCAATATTTATACCATTGTATAATATAGTATTTTTTGACTGTACCGCTGATTAACTTCTGTAATTTTCTGTTATTATTATTTATAAGTTAAATTAAATTATTCCATAGATAAAAAAACTTTGAGTAATTGAAGTTTCTCTTTTGAATTTAAAAGAACACTGGACAGGTTATACCTGTAAAGTATTTTCGATCAAGTAATCTGATCCAGATTACAAAATAATAAAAATTTCCTTTATTTTTAGTATTAAAATAGTTCTGTCAATAATAGATAGTGATAGGATTTTTAATTTTTACAATTATATTCATGGAAATGAAATTATACACTTACAAAATTCAAGAATTTTTTTTTCGTTTCACAAAATAAAACTGAAGTTGTGATTCAATATTTTTCTATAGATAAATAATTATCTACCCCAACACTCAACTAAATTAAATGAAAACTATTTTTTAAACGTTTGAGAATCATTTTGAATTAAAGAATAAGTTTGAATTGATATCTATTAAACATTTTATACTATTGATCTATCGGCAACCCTACACAGATAAATAAAAAAATATAGATATTGAAAAGAGAATGTTTAATATCTAATGGAGGAGAAATGTGATGGGCATTGAAATTATGAATGAGAAACATCTTTGGAGAAATGTACTATTTATATCGCAATAAATAGATGCATGCCATGTTAAATAATAATCCACGACTCATGAAATCATGATCTCCAGCTGCAGGAGAGAGGAGAAGCTGATGTTTATTGTTGGTATTTTCTTTTTTTTTTTTTTTTTTTTTTTATTAGCATGCATGGATTATATTCATGAGTGAGAACAATAAATTGAAATAATTATTTTTTTTCTACACACCTTTGGATAATGAAATGAAAAGTAATGACCATTCTAGTCGAGAACTAAATGATAAATGAAAACATTGAATTATAACATGACTTTTTCACTAAACATATAGTCGAATGCATAAAAAAACATTGCACTTTAAAATTTTATAAATTATTTATAATTTTATGTCTTTGCATGTGTTAAGTGCAGTGCGTTCTTACCTAGTTTAAGGTGTAGTGAAGCGTGGTAACCAGTGTTAACATTAAATATAATATTTCTAAATGGGAGGAATAATGTGGAATTGACTTTTGGAGTAAAAAACTTAAAGAATTAAAATTGTATTCAAGTTAAAATTAGAAAATCTTTCTTATCTAAGGTTTATGCTAATTTTATCAATTAGTAATTTACAGCAGATGAAAATAAATTATTTTACATAAAATTAGATTGAGTTATGGGAACAAAACACAGACACAAAATGTTTCATAAAGGATATTGGTGTGTAGTGTTGTTAATTCCCTTTTAGAAATAATTTTTCTTCTTTTCATAGTCAATTTACTAAAACTTACTTCTGTTGTAATTTTACTTAAATCAAATTAAAAAATTGTCAATATCAAATTATATAGGTCATTAATTCTTATTTTATTAAACAAAACCATTAATATTTACTCAACAATAAAAACAAAGTTAATTCAAAATTTTTTTTAATCTGAATGATGTGATTTGAGAGCTTGGAAAGAAGTTACTTTTAACAATGTTTACTCATAAAAAGAGTAATAAATAAAAAACGAAGATTTACTACCATTTTTATGAGATTTTTTAACAATGTTTAACTTTTCCTTTATTTAAATATTATCGATGATCCTGCATGTCTGTTAAAGGTTTTAAAAAGGATGTGTACCATTCCATAAAAGCAAATAATAAATTAATAATTGCTTGTCATTAAATTTGAATGAATTTAATTTATATCAAAATGAAAAAAAAAATTAATGAAGTCCATTACTTTTTTTTAGTTGCCTTAATAATAGACACAAAATGAATGATAGGCATATAATTTATACTCAGAATAGTTGCTGGTAAAAATTTATATAATGAACAATTCAGAATGAATATTGAAAACGAATCGATCATTGATTCTTGATGTTTCATAGTAGTTTTCTATAAATAATAACAATTTACATTTTAATAACAAATATTTGAATAATTTAAAATTTTTTGACACTATCCTCATAAGATTGTTTCATAAGGTGATCCCCATAAGGTAACAAAATTTGCCAAACAAAGGACAATATATATACTTATTAATAAATAATAAAAAAAAATGCCCAAAATTTCTCTTCCATTTTAGTGACTTCTTAATTAAAAAAAAAAAAAAATAAAAATTTCAGTGTACAAAAATTGAATTTTTTGAAATTGGCAACCATATTTTGAAAAGGCTGCATGCTTCTGAATAGTAAAATGATATGGAATAATTAAAACGAAGAAGAAATAAATAAAAATAGTGCATTTTACAGTTTGTATTAGTAATAGGCTGGGCTTTCCTTTGGGATCTAAAGTGGGAAAGGATTGGAATAGAAGGAGACAATCTAAATGTAATTAATTAATTTTTTCATTGATTTGTATCGTAAATAGGCCAAATAATACGTGAATGTTTACAGAGGACCCTGCAGTCATTTATAACTAAGATACAAGGAATTTACAACTGACATTTAACAGGCTAGGAGGTAGTACACACGATTTAGTTGTACACAACATCCAATTACAATTGGTTTTATATAATTTTTTTTCCTGGATCATATATATGCCTGGGAATAAAAACAAAACGCATGAATTATGGCCCATAATCTAAATTAATCTAACATTTAACCTATATAATAATGTATGAAAAACAAAACAAAAAAAAAAAACAAAAAACAAAAAAAAAACTAAGGGTTGTATGAAATCAAAACAAACTAGGTGAAGTTATCGGTAAATGTGTATGCACAAATGTAGATTTGGGGTAGTTGCTAAAACACACGCACACACACACAACATGCACTACCCTACGTGTGGAACTGCGCAACTTCATGCATTACACACTCACTACTCATGCTACACGTTTTTTTTTTCTTTTTTGTTTCTCCTAAAAGCAATTTTGCTCTAATTTGTTTGGAAGTTAAGTATAAAATATTTATTGTTAAAAAATAAATTATTCTTCATCATCATCCTAAATATGTAGTAAATAATAAGATTTTAACAAAAAATAGTGTATTGTAACAAACATAAACATTTTTTTTAGATTTAAATTGTTTATTTAAAATATTCAATTTAAAAAATGATAGTTAAATCTTTTTAAAATATTAATTTTATTAGTTGTTATGAGGATAATAATTGAATGAATATGAGATTATATAGTTTAATGAGTCCATTTATTTATGAAAATATGTCAGAAAGGATAGCTAAAATTAAGCAAATAATTTTTAATTAAAATTTTTTTTCAATGCTTCTTTAGCCTTCCAATTTACGTTCCAAGTGATAACAAAATGTTATAGTGTTTACGAAAATTGCAACAGAAGTGAATTATGCAGGTTTCAAAAACATAGATTCATTCTAATTTTGGTAAAAGATCAAACAGAAATGTTTCATGGGTATTTAATCTGTAATTCAAAATCCCAGTTTTTTAGAAGTCAGCAATGCATTTTCACGATCTTAATATTCAGTTTTGAGACCAGGTCACTCATTACAAAGTTAACGTACTGGTTTTGTTGTCAGATGTGTTAGTCATATACCCACAAGATAACCATTATCTACTAAGAGTTTTTCCAAAATTTTGATTAAAAAAAGAATAAAAAAAAAAAGAGATACGTAGAATACAAATTGAAATAGTTAAAGTAATATCATAAGAAACAGATTATCTTCGTTTCAATGATTATCTGACAGAAAAATATTTAAATATACATTTTTTTTATTATATTTATAATTTGTAATGGAAAATATATAATTAATACTTTTTATTGGTTTTTTTTTTTTTTTAAATACACAAATGAACTTATGATATGAATAAATTTCCTGGGTCTAGAAATTATTTCAAAAATTCTTTTGGACCAGATAGATACGATGTTTGGTGAAGAAAATTAAAAATATTTGAGTTTTGCATGAATCTATGATTTTTTTTTTTTTGTAGGTAATACAAATTTCAATTTAAGTAAGATATTTTCTTTTCATTAATGTTAAAAAAAAATTACAGTAATTATTATAATTAAATTTATTATATATTAAACGGAAACAAGATTTAAATGACCTTTAATTAAATTTAAAATAATTCATTTTAATTTGGGTATTCTAAAGCAAATATTATTACGATCATGGGTTTGATAAAATTAAAATATTTAATATTAATAAATAGTTAGAATAATTTTATTTATACCAGGTAAACATTTAGTGTCTTATGTTAGTATCATTTAAAGGGCGCATTGCCACAATATCTTCAAGTTCCATCACTTCTTCATATATGTTAGTTATTGAAGAAAAAAAAAAAAAAAAATTGCATTTGCTTAAAAATATGTATCAGTAGACTTATTTGGAATACCTTTCGCATTGCCTTAGCGTCCAGCTTGCGATGATCCACAACGATACCATGAAAACTAAGAGGACTGTGCCAGGGCATATCGTCATTAATGTCTTGAGCACAAACCTAAAAGAATAAATGAAAATAGTAACTTGAAGATGGCGGTAAGTAGATTTTATGTACAACTTCACATTTATATATTTTATTATGGTGGAAGAATATTTGCATGCTATCTACTTTGAACATAAATTTCAGATGGCAGTAGAAATAACTCCAGTAAATGTAATACTGTATTACATCATATTTAATACACAATTTTTTTTTTTACAAAAATTGAATTTTTAAAATGAGGTGATTTTTTGATTTTGCATAGCTTGTAATCTTAATTTTAATGTTAAAGTGTTTTGTTTTTTATTTTTGTTTTTACTTTATAGATCTTAAGGTTTTGTTTCTTTGTTTTATAGTCCGTGGTACAGAGCCCTTTTTATCAAATTATTAACATCCGTCTGAAACTTTGTAAATAGCTTCATCTCACCTTAAACTACAATTTTTTTATTTGTGAAAACTCTCGAATTGAGGCGTTTTCTATCTGGAGGTTGGCAAACTTTCTCTTCATAATTGGATACTATAAACGCCTAAATACCCATTTTATTTTCTCTTGGATCATAAGATAATTTTATTATAAAATCAATTAAAAAGGTTGCCTATAAAAATATTGGGCATCTTGCATATATAGTTTTGTTATTTTGACATTTGGGTGTTTAGGTCACGCCAAACGGCTCAATAATTTTGAAGGTCACCTTTTTTCTTATGATTCAGCTACAGTTGATCTTATGATTCAAGCAGAAAGCAAATGGGTATTTCCGATTTTTTGTACCTAATTAAATAGATAAAATTTGCCAACCTTCAGATTGAAAAAGTGCAAAATCTGTAAGTTTTCCTAAATAAAATATTTGTAGGTTAAGATAAGATGAAGCTATTTATTTATGAAGTTTCAGCCGGATGTTAATTTGAAATAAACGGGTCTGCACCATAGAATATCAAATTAATTTTCAAGATATGGTATTGACTTTAAGATATAATGTTGCGATATAACTTATTTATGTGCAGTGAAAAAAAAAATTACATTATTGAAATTGTATTCATTAAAAATTTTTCTATCAAGCTTTCTATTTATGAAACATATTATCGTTTGATTTATTTACATGTATTTGATACCTACCTTTCTTTAAATACAAAACGTAATGAAAACATTAAGTACAAGGAATATAAATGATATTATATTTAAGTAGTAGTACAAAAAAATAAAATGATGCAAAAATGCCTTTAAAAGGCAATATTGAAAAAAAAAAAGATTTATTCCATGTTTTGGAATTCCACCCACATCTCAATTTTATAGAGACCTGGTTCCTAAATAAAGTTTATTTCTATCTATCTATCTACATATTTATAATATTCACACTTAACCAATTCAATATTCAAAACACGCTTCTCCTCCAAGTTAGTAGAATACATTAATATTTTAAATAAATTAGCTGCATGTCAAACAACTTTTAGCAATAACCATGTAGTGTAAATTAATGTTTCACAATTATGAAAATGAATAAATAATGAAAAAATAAACAATGAAATTTATTATTTTTGATATTTTGTTTTTATTAATTTTATTTTTGATTGTTTTGAGTAGTATTTCTTCAATTTAATTTTCTTGAAGTGATAAATGCTTGAATGTGATAATAATTCCCAAAAATAATTTGTAAGAAATCAATTAAGTGAACATATAATAATGGCCTAGATCAATTTGTTCATTAGTTGTCACTTAGTTCTTCAAGATCACAAGCCTACTCCTGCTGATGACCCTTATCGTTTGGACTAAATATAAATCATATAATTTAAAACAGAACATAGCTATTTATTTTATTTTGTTGTTTTTATAGTATAATACTTTCGCCCAGCTGATTCCTAAAAGTTATTAGGATATTCTAGTTTTTGAGCATTCATTCATATTTTTAAAGTGGAATGGGAAACAAAAAATTATATCTTTATTATTTATCATCAACAGGTAGAAGACGGTGGAGTCTAAAAATAAAAAAAGCTAGTTTAAGTGAATTATAAAGTAACATTAATATTTCTTCCCCCCTTCCACCAGCTTTTGAAATATGAGATAAAAACTTATTGCACAATAATAACTAATAGAATAAGACTTCTAAGCTAGAACTAGGTGAGGAAATGGAATGAGAAAATGTGGGAACTCCGACTTAACCCCCGTGGCTCTCAGCCAAGGTATCTTTTATCACAGCAATTTCACTCTTGACATTACAACCATGTAATATATTAAAAATATAATGTTCTACATAAATTACAACTAAAAGTGGTTTAAGGATTTACCACTTCATGATCAAAGAAGACCTCTGTAAAGTTCAACATTTCCGTATTCAGTTTAATCCAGTTTTGCTAAAAATCTTATTCAAATGCTTCCTGGTTTGAGGGTCTCTTAATATATATATATACAGTGGCTCAAAGTGAAATTGATACACTCCATAGAAAAAATACTTCAATGGTTACAGTAAATAAATAAAACCAGAAACTTTTCAACAAATAAATTTATAATCTCATTTTAAATATGTACAGACTTAATAAAATTAAAATATTCATCTGTGATTATTTAAAGATATTAATACAAAATAAAACTGGATAATGTTACTCTTGGAACTTTTAAATTCTATTAATTTAGTCCAACCCCTTGTAGACAAGTCATTATTTTCTACCATTCAGTCTGTTTGCAATGGAATCGACCAATTTTTAGGTGATTCTGGGCTTAGACTGTTCCATTTTTCTAGAAGATATTTTTTAATGCCGCAAGATGATAAATCAAAATCTTAAAAGTTTCTTAAAGGCCAATTAATAACCAATTTATTTACATTTCTTACATCCAGGAATCATAAGTACAATGGCTTGAGTACTAGACACAGTACATATCGCGTCAATGGCAACTGATGCATTATGACTATGTGATTCCAGAAAAGTCTTATGATTGTCTCCACCCTCTCCCCTGACCCGGAAAAAACCTGAATAGCCAATTAGGCGAGGAAGAGGAGAGAAAAAAGGAAGATAATGGCGGAACGATAGCTCTCGGTATCCTTTTGATGTAAATCCATCTTATTAGCCATAGAAAACTCAAACAAAATGATTGTTTAGCATGTCTACTGTTTAATACTGACTTGGAATGTGCCTTTATTATAGAGTCGGCTATAATAAAGGCTACTATTTCGCTGGCGCGGCCCACGACAGCGACCGCAATTCCAAGCTGCCAACCAATGTTGCGTAGCTATTTCGCTGAAAATGCTCACTTGGGTTGTTATAACCTGTCTATAACCTTCGAACATTTCGCTTTAGCTTCGAAGATAAAAAAATGGACTTCTTATAATAATAGTAATAAACATCCTATAATAACAGTAATGAACATCCTATAATAATAGTAATGAACATCCTATAATAATAGTAATGAACATCCTATAATAATGAACATCTCTGACTACTGCTTTTTATTTGAGGAGGAAAAAGAAGAAGAGAAAATGGGAAACACCGTGCTAACAACAATAGTCCCTCTGATATTAGATATTAATAGTTTGAAAATTAATAGTAATTATTACATAATTGATTGGTAATAAATATCATATATTTGTAATTAAATCACAGCAGACGATGTTTTATCGTTTTATCAATAGTAATCAGTAAATCCTCACTTTAATTAAAAAATACAATTAGATTTTTCAATGAGTTCATTTTAGTATTTACTTGACGTTAAAATTTGTTGGATTCTTTAATTTATTTAATATCGTTTGGATTTAGGTATATTTGAATTTCGCTGTAAAATATTGTTGGTGGAATAAATAAATAAATAATCTTGTTACTTCAACCTTAAAAAAATAATTTACTATTGCATTGTTTAAGTTTTACATCTATCGTACACATTCACTCCTCATCCTGAACTCCATCCCTCCCATACTGCTGAAGTTAAAGAATTCCTCTCTTCACCGATTCCTCTCTCCTTACCTCCTACAGCCGTCAACCCCTCTGAGGTCAAATTCCTTTTAAAGAACCTAAAACCTCGCAAATCTCCAGGACACGATCTCCTTACTTCCCAGATCCTCAGACAACTTCCCAAAAAAGCAATTATATTCCTTACATACCTATTCAACTGTATCCTCCGCACAACATACTTTCCTCTGGTGTGGAAACACTCCATAATTATCCTCTTTCCTAAACCAGGTAAACCTGTTAATTGTACATCATCCTATAGACCGATAAGCTTACTTCCGATCCTTTCCAAAATCTTTGAGAAAATCCTTCTCAAACGCATCCTACCCATACTCGAATCCCACAATATCCCTTCTCATCAGTTTGGATTCCGCTCAAGACACTCCACTGTCCAACAAGGCCTTCGCGTTGTGGACCACATATCCTCTGCACTTGAAAACAAGCAATATTGCACTGGTGCCTTTCTGGACGTAGCTCAAGCTTTCGACCGGGTGTGGCACGATGGCTTGCTTTTCAAGCTCAAAACCCATTTACCTCAAGCCTTGTATCTAGTCCTCAAATCCTTCCTTTCAAATCGCTCCTTTCAAGTCCGCTGCGGCACTGAACTCTCCAAACATTATCCAATTGAGGCTGGAGTCCCACAAGGCAGTGTCTTGGGCCCAGTTCTCTACATCCTTTTTACCGCTGACATCCCTTCAAGTCCTGATACCTTCCTAGCAACATTTGCTGATGATACTGCCATCCTATCCTCCCACTCGGATCCTCTAATTGCGTCCCAGAACCTGCAAAGACACCTCTCCTTCATTGAGCAGTGGTGCAACAACTGGCGCATCAAAATTAATGAATCAAAATGTAAACATGTAACTTTTACTCTTCGACGCAGATCCTGTCCGCCAATCCTTTTTAATTCAATTCCTCTTCCCTACTCAGACACAGTCCGATACCTTGGCTTCCTTCTGGACAAAAGACTGACTTGGAACCCACATACGAGACTTAAAAGACAAGAGCTTAACCGACGATTTGGTCAGCTATATAGACTACTACACAGAACATCTCATCTCTCAACAGAAAATAAATTATTAATCTACAAGACCATACTGAAACCTATCTGGACCTACGGACTTGAGCTGTGGGGGACAACTAAATCATCGAATATCAAACGCATCCAATCCTTCCAGTCTAAAGTCCTTCGAACAATAGTCAATGCTCCATATTATGTCACGAACAAGACCCTACACCATGACCTTAACATCCCACATGTCCATGACATCATCCCATCCAGATTCTCCAACTTTCACCAGAACCTCATACATCATCCCAATCCTCTAGCCCAATCCCTATCCAGCTCCGAGCATCCATACCATCCCCCTCGAAGGTTGAAACGGCAGTGGCGTCGAGATCTTTTGTAAATATGCCTTTGGAGTCCTGGCAATGGCCAGGTTCTCCACTCATGTCCTGAGCGTCTGTGGCTCTAGTGCCCTCTTTCAGTCTCCACTGGCTTCTAATACTAGTGATGCGGCTGGAAAAGTGGCGCTGGGATCTTCCGGAGTCTTGCTTTGCCTTCCACGTGTGGGGGAAAAAGCCTGGTTCGGAGATTCTTGGGCGAATGTATATATTGTATATAGTTATGATTGTGTTTAGAAGTTTTTATTTTATTTTATTTGTTTATTATTATTATTTTTTCTTTTCTTTTTATTTATCTTCTTCATCAGTATTATTTATTTACTTCTTATATTTATTTCTTTATTATTTGTATATATTGTATGAATGAGAACTTTTAGCCCTAATGCTTATAGCCCTCCAGCAGTGGCTGCATGTATTATTATTCAATAAATAGATTAAAAAAAAATTGTTTAAGTTTTAAGCAATATTTCTTATAATTTTGCCAGACTTGAAAGAAACATAGGAAATAAAACGTATCAACATGACTGTTATCATCAAAATAATGCTCTGATATGATAACATAACCTACAACCGCCGAACCGCCAACAGCTCCACTGCTTCAGGAGCGGTCAGATAGGAGCAGCTTAGACATGACGTCATACCTAGACTGCCGAGCAGCGAGAGCGAATTAGGTTCCTTTCCACTAAAGCAGTGGTCAACCGCAGGGGTCGTGGGCCGCGCCAGCGAAATAGTACCTTTAGATAACAAGTGAGGTTTCGTCCAGGCTTCCTAACCGACAAGTACCATTGATATCTTACAGGTGACTGATCTTTTGGAGTGAGCTTCTGAATCCAGAATGGCGTTTCAACATGCGCGGACACCAACATATTGTATTGTTTGTTAACATCTATGACAAGGCTTTGGTATAGAATTCCCTAAAAACTCCCTAACATTGTTTGATAATCAAGATTAAATATTTACCTGGTATTAAAATTAATCCTGTTGAGAGCACCTATACTCCTGGAAGAGGCGTCGGTGAAGAGCTTGCTGTGGAGGAGCATGACCCTGCAGATGAGGTAGAGCCTGAGGAACATGGGGAGGGAGAGGGCCACGTCGTAGGGCACCCACTGGCGGCCCACTTCCCCGCCCTTGTTGGCCAGCTTCGTCGTCCAGAGGAAGTAGTACTCCCCGGGGATCGGGTGGACCGCGCAGATCGCCAGCTCAGCGCCGATCTGGGCCATCCGCTGCCAGGTCATCGCTATCCTCCAATCGTCTGCGCAGTTATCGATCATGAAAAGCTGAAACAGGAGTAAACTCTTATCAGAACAACATGGAATACTTCAAAATGAACATAGATATATTAAAAGATATTGGAAGTATGGTGTGGTTATGTACAATGCATACTTCTGATCCTTCATAAAACCAAACTCGATATTGGAAATCGATAACGGTTTGTCATTGTTGGAAGCATCGAGTGGTACAATAATAATTACTAAGATCTACATCCTCATTGAGCTGTTTTTCTATAAATAAGAAGAGATTACATCTCGTGGTTCAGTGTGCTTTTAAAAAACAAAACAAATCTATTTATTGAATAATAATACAATCAGGAGGCTCGGAGCTGGATAGGGATTGTGCTAGAGGATTGGGATGATAAGGTTCTGGTGAAAGTTGGAGAATCTGGATGGGATGATGTCATGGACATATGGGATGTTAAGGTCATGGTGTAGGGTCTTGTTCGTGACATAATATGGAGCATTGACTATTGTTCGAAGGACTTTGGACTGGAAGGATTAGATGCGTTTGATATTCGATGATTTAGACAAGAGTGTGCTAGTTTTATCATAACCCGAGAAAACTCAACTAGAAAAAGCGGATGACGAAAGAGAATTGAATTCTCAACAGATCAGGAAGCTAAATTCTAATGTAAATACTTTAGCGTATCCACTTTCTTTAAAAAGGTACATGCGAAAAATTATAGAAATTATAGATCATATACGGTCTGTCCAATCTGTTTCCTGGTTTGAAAGTTCCTCCAAATCGGAACCCCAGAAAAATATGGTTTTCTTCAAAAATCTATAACTCCATAAAAATGTGACCAGTTCCAATTTCATAACATCGTAAAAATGTGCCTTCTTTAAAAAGTTTGATCAAGCAACATGCGGCACATATACCTCTTCCGGGCACTTCTGTCGGTTGACGATCTTATTGAGATTTGGCGTTGTACAGCATATTAATGGATAATATACTTTATTTCCGACAAACTTATGTTTCTTTGTTCAGGTAATGTAAGCGCTAACGTTTCGCTTCCATAAGGAGTAGTTATAAGTACATTTTTTAAAATGAAAAATATAAAGAAAAGGTGAATTAATTGGATTTTGAGAAATTGACTTCAACTTCATTGGTTAGTTTTGCTATATTTTCATCAAATTAGACAAGCAACTTAAAAAAGATGAATCTTGCAAGCGGGACTTAGATCGGAAGCTTTCTTTCGCCTTCTATATAACTTCAGACAAGCTACCTTATGAAAAACCATCTCGAATTTTATTTTAAACGTTTCGACTTGTTTTACACTCTTTCAATCAGTCAAACTAATTTGTAAGTTAATTTCTGTTTCAATAATTAACGAATCGCAGACAGTGAGGATTTATTTATTAATTAAACTCTTTTATTTAAAATTCTGTTACAAATGACTATGAGGGTTACTACAAGAGTTAATTCTAAGTCTCCCTACAAGAGTATGACATCAAGATCATAGATCTAGGTCTCCTGGCAAGTGCATGACTTGAAGAATGTAACTGCGTGAGTGATTTCCCCTGACGACGATAAGATTAAATATACCCAGGAATAGTAGAGAGGATGAGGAGAGTCGGAAGAGGACCGTAAAGGAAGTTATCAATAATAAAAATTCTTGGAGTAGACTGTGATATAATATGAGAAGGAGTTGGTCGGGGGATACAGTCAAATAAATACTAAATTTTTAAAATAGTATTTTAATCGTTACTACGCCGACGTTTCGACCAACTTTGTAGGTTATCAGCATTCTATCAGTCGCAGTCAATCAACTACTACCTGCAGTGCCCTATACCACGCCTAAATGATGACGTGCAAACTGGGTCGAAACGTGGTCGTAACGATTGAAATACTATTTTAAAAACATAATATTTATTTGACCGCACCCCCCGACCAACTCCTTCTCAATTTCTTATCCATTAATGTTGATATAAGGTCTGTGGGAAAGTACCCTTTTGCCGAAATCTGTTATTGATAATGGAAAATCTGTTATTGATAAATCTTGAGTATTAATAAAGGATTAAGAGTCGGTCATTTTAGATAACTAGTTCTAAGCTATAAGAGATAGTCTTGTCCTTTGAGTCATGGGAATTGCCAATACATGATTCACCAATTACCGCATCTATGAAGATTATTTGTTTAAATGGGGATAAATTCATGTTACTATTATGATCGGTTACGGATTACGCCCATTGTATAACTAATGGTATAAGGATATTGTGACGCACTTAAAGGTTCTTCCTTAAACTGTTTCACCTATACTTCAACTTTACGATACTGCATGCATTACGTTCCACCGTTCAAGAGGCTGAATAAGATTCAAGGTATTGCGTACTATAGGTAAGACATAAGGAGAAAGTATGGCCATCGAAGTAGGAATTAAGCTGCCTTGTCATAGCCTACGTGAGCGGGGTCTTCAGGAGTACCGCATTGCAGCTTCTTTTCACCAACAGTTCCAGGGTAAACAACTTTTTCTCACTGCCTCCCATATCCGTTCCGACTGTATAGCTTCGGTTATATAGGCCACGGTTATAGAAGGGAAAGAAGAAGAAAAAAAAACTAGAACGGAAGAGCGCTAATTATTCTGCATTGCCCTCCTTTCGCCTAAAAGTCGGAAAAAAGAAACCAGTCAGATGCAATGTCTTACATCAGCAATCGGTTCCATCTAAGCCATAAGGGAGTTCTTATAGGACTTGGACGTTTCTTATAAAGTTTATAACAATATTGGCTTCAAGCACGCAGACCTACTACCTACCAATCAATACACTACTTCATCTTCTTATATTTTATTTACTGAAAGATATGCTATGTATTTTTTTTTTTATATTTATAGAATTATGTAATATAAATATAAATATTTACCAAATAATATTTTTAAAAATGTTATACCACTACAACTTATGAAGGGTGTTGTATTTAATAGTTTGTAAGGAAGAACTGTTTTTGGCCAACGCCTATGCAGGTATGTATTTGGACCAAGATCACACTCTATCCCCAGGTTTTCCTCCTTAATTAATTATTTAATTAAGAGTACCCATTTAAGTTTACGCCATTTTATGCATTAAGTTCTCCTGTTCAAGAAGCTGGACACGAATCAAGGAAGGGAGGCTCTGATAGAAGATCCTACTATTGAAAAAAAAAAACGATGAGGATCAAGATATCGAAATACTAAAATAAGCTGAGGAAATCTATAAAAAAATGCATTCCGTACGTTCAGAAAAAATATATAGAGAAATTTGGTGATAGAGAATTTTTGGTTCGGAAGTAGAGGAGATATTCCAATTTCAACTGCTTTTTTTTTGGAAGGGAGCTACCTGAAGAATATACCGAAATCTATAACCTTGGACTCGCTTATTACACACATCCCTCCACCGTTCGCCGTCCAAACCCAGTCCCTTCAGATCGGCTTTAATGCAATCTTCCCACCTTCGCTTCGTTCTACCCCTCGGAGGTTTACCATTCGGTACAGGAAATATTAACCTTTTAGGAATTCTTCCGTTTCTAAGCCCAACAATTTTACAAGCCTATTTGATTCGCCTCGATGAAATTACCTCAATTATATTACCCGGATACAGTTCACGAAATTCGGCGTAGTGCAACCGTCTGAACTCTCCGGTTAACTCATCGGTCGGAATATTCTACGCAATATTTTTTTTCAAAAACCTTAAGACGCTGCTCGTCCCTTAATATAAGCGGCCAAGTTTCGCATCGATAAAGAACTGTATGTAAGATAATGGTTTTATAGATTATAATTTTTAAGTTCCGGGACAAGAGGCGCGAGCTAAGTAGTTTTGTCACAGAAAAACAACAAACATTTCCCGCCTTCAGTCTAACCTTAATCTCTTCTTCTATTTCGTTTTTTCTAGTTATCGTAGACCCTAGATACCTAAACTTCTCTACCTGTTCAAACATATTACCATCTATAATTGGTAAATGGTTGACTGTCGTGGTTAATGAAGAGAAGAATAGTTGGGGTGGTCAGTCAAAAAATATGGCAAAAATAAATGGTAAAAGTAAAAATAAAAATAAATTATCATTTATTTTTGCCTTCTTTTTTGACTGACCACCCCAACTATTCTTCTCTTCATATTACCATCTATATCGATATCACCATTGGTATCACCATTTTGACAGCTAATCATATATTTTGTTTTATCGACGTTTATTTCGAGCCCTAGTTCGTTACCGGCTTTCATTAACATTGTCGTATTTAGTTTTATAGTTTCCACGTCTTCGCTTAAGAGTACCAGATCATCAGCATAGCCATTGTCAAGTAAAGCGGAATAAATATTGTTTGGAATATTCAAAAGTGTTCTTTCGGTTTGTTTGCTCTATATTTCCTCAGTAAATGCTTCATAGCCAGCGGACACCAGTAGGTCTAGCATTCAATTGGAGTTTCGCCGGCCATCAGGTAATTGTGGGTCAGGCGTGTGTGGACTATACTTAGTCGCGTCAGGATCACCTCTTCGCATAAACTTTGATATTATTTAATTATTTTTTTTTTTTAACAATCTTGCATAACACTGACATTTTGATATAATAATCCTTCTTTCCCTAGTTGACTCGTAGGGCCATCAAAGACTGCCGCTCGGTGATACGTGTCTTCATGAAAGACCTTCATCAACTATTCCGGTGCGGTATGCTTTGAAAAAAGATTGGCTAATTATAAAATTGTTAGGGCTCTTCATTGGCCAATCCCTTTGATCCTTTGTCCCTACAACAGTGGCCCATTTCCTCCAATAGGGCCACCTACTTCACAAAAACCAATTCATTAATTTTTTTTCTCTATATACGTCATGAAAATGTAAATTATTTCTCTCAAGTAACTACTGACTACGAGAGACTTGAAAATGCGGGCGGTAAACTCGATGAGCCGAAGTTTCGGAGAAAATTCGATTTTACTTGGAGTAATCTATTTTTTGAGGTAACGAATTTCCCTTAAAATCGCGTTCCGTCAGCATTTCACTTACCGAAGGAACAAAACAAGGTTTCTGTCTGTCCTCTA